TCCGCACAGGAGCCTCAGTCCATGTGGAGACTCTGCATATGTCAGTGACAGCCTCTTTCAAACCTGGTGTTCAAAACTGAGAAGTCACTTTTTTGGGGTTTTTCCCGCCCAGATGTTTTACTCACAAGTAATTTACACATCATATAATTCAATAGTTCAATCATTCAACCATATAATGGAGAATTGTACAATCACGTCTACATCAATTTTAGAACATTCCCCTCCCCCACGTCAGGTTGCCTTTAAGGTGCTTCATGCAATCACAATCTGTTCTAGTGCTCCCTCCTTCCCCTACCAGTCTTCATTAGTTACTCCCAAAATCCCCTTGCCCTCCCTATCCTCCCATCCCCACACCTGCATTCCCTAGAACCCATTGTATCAGTTATTCTCCTTATGCATCCACTGCTCCTGTGCTTCACAGCTGGGGAACCCAACAGAAAACAATCGAAAACAAAATCTCACTACAGTGGTCAGGGTAAAAATGCTAATAATGCATAAGAAGGAAAAGACCCCCAACAATAATAAAAAACGCCAGGGAAGACATTTCTGTCATGGAATCAGCTAGAGATACTTGCACCCAGAACAAATTCAGGTTGTTTCTTTAGGGTGGTCAACTGACCAAGTGTCGAGTTAAGTCAGCATTGTCAAGAATACAGTGGTTTCTGCTGGAGAGTCAGGCTGATCAAGATGCTTGCCTGTGGCAAGAGTGGATCTACCAGCGGCTCAGTCTGAGCAGACACTCCGCAGATGGGGGTTAGGCTCTCACCGTCCCCTACAAACTTCCACAAATCGGGCGTTCATAATTTTAGCTCTGATGCTTTTTTCCTCACCATATTCAAGATTTGTTATTGTCATCTTTGGATCACACAAGCTGGTGTGCTTCTCCCATGTGGACATAGTTGACTCCTTGCTTAGATAGCTGCTTGTTTGAATGCAAGCCTTTAAGACCCCAGACACTATTCCGATTTATAGCAAGGCACCATCTGCTTTCTTCACCACACTTTACTGTAGCACCCTTACTTTCAGTGATCATTTCATGAAGGTGAATATACAGCAGGGCCGTGATGTAAGATCTAATTGTTTTTAAGTTGGACCTAGGATTGAGTGTGAGCCCAGAACCCATTCTTGATCTAAGCCTTTTCCCAAAACATACTTTTCCTTCCTGACTTCTTGACATCTTCTCCCTCTTCTCTCCCCCACCCTCTATAGCCCCCTTCCCCAAACCCCTGTTACAGTTTCTTTCCCTGTAGGCTCAACATCCCTGAGTTTCATTTACTAGACAACAAGGCTACAGATAACAGTTTCAAGAGGGTGAGCCCCAGGGACACTTCTCTTTTTACTGTGATTTGCATGTGAGTTTACAGATTGGCTTTCCATTAAAAAAATCATATGAATTTTATTTCATTAGATACAATTCCCACAGTATAATAGCATTCTTTCCACTTTTCCTCAAGTTTCCCATTTCCATTGGTCCTTCTTTCCTACCCCTCCCTGTCTTCTGAGCTTTAGCCCCTGGGAATTGTTGCCCTTTTGAGCTCACATGGTGGAATGTTCGAAGGGGTGTGTTCCTCCCTGGTCTTATTGTTCACCTTATAGTCCTATCTATTATTGTTTAGTGGAAAGTTAAAGCACAGGAATGAGTTCAGTGTCAGGAATGAAGGTTGTCTAAGGGTCATGTCTTAAGGGTTCTACCAATCTCTATCAGACCAGTAAACCCGATCTTTTAAACCTTTTTGAGTTTTGGCCCATATTTTCACCCACTCTACCCAGTACTTTTTATTTTGATCCCTTTCAGAGCATCAGCAGTGGTATCTGGGCACAATCTAGTTCTTCTGATCTCAGGGTCATGGAGTCTGAGGTTCATTTAATTCATTAACCCTTTGGACCAATAGCTTTTGATTTTTTTAATTCTCGTTTGCTCTGGACTTGGAGAGATCAATAGTTGTACCTTAGATGGATAACTCACAAGTTATTTAGACCTTAGGCACTACTCCCCACCCAAAGCTGGATGCAGAACATTGTCATTGTAGTGCATGGTTGCCCATCTCAAGGAGCTATTTAATCTAGTAAGGGAAATTTACATTAAACAAAGAATCACACAGATGAGCATATAAAGATAAATCATGATACTTCTAGTAAGAGAAGACCACCCAAGGAGGACCTGTCCAGAGGGGAAGGAGATGGCGGAGCCTTAAGAATGGCTTCTCTGAGGAAGCGACATTTAAAATGAGACTCGAAAGATTGCCAGAAGCAAGTACGTTAGTACTGGAAAAGTCTCTTTCAGGTACATATAGAAAGCCTTGCAAATACTGACGCAGAAAACTGGAATAATTCAAGGAGTGAAAAAGGATGGTTGCTGGAGTGGACGAGTGAGGACATGTTTACATCAGTTATGCTTCACTAATGCTGTGTTACAAACAACGTCAAAATTCAGAAGCCTAAGATGACAATGATATGTTCTTGCTCATTTGTCTGCAGGTTGACTGGCTCTAGACATTAGTCTGGGTCTGGTTTGCTCCATGTGTCTCTCACTGTCTCTGGATTTGTGGGATCGGTGGGGCATATTCTTCTCATGACAAATGGGAGAAGCATAAGGAAAAACCCAACACACAGGCCTATTTCAGACCTTCTTCTATTTCTCTAACATCTATTTTCAACTTGACCTAAGGAAGACACATGCTAAGCTCAACATCAGTGGTGTGTTGAAGCATACTCTGCCTGTATACTTTCTCTCTCTCTTTTTTTCCAATTCCACAACTTCTTAAAAAAATCTATTATTAATTGTGATTTATGCATGTATCATATCATGCCATAGTTCAATCAATATTTCTTGGACAATTATCAGACAAAGTCTTGCAGTGCAATGGATCACTTTAATATGATCTTTCTACCTATGGTCTTGTAACTCTCATAACATATTGGGTGGAATTATGCAAATAAGGTGCTTGTGGCCCATTAGGGGGTTTGGAACCCCAGTGAGGAATTTTTCAATTTTGCTATCCTGCTAAGTCTTAAAGGTTTAAAATGAGCCATCCCAGAGACGGAAAGTGGGATCTGAGTGCAATCAAGAAGAGACAAGAGCAGAGTCTATTCTTTGGTCCTGATATCTCTTTGATGGAGACGGGGAGAAGAAGAGAGTCAACATCAGCCAAGACACAAGACCCAGAAGGTTGCAAGAGATGGCACAGTGAACTTCTCAATCTATGGAGCTCAGGAGGTGAGCACGTTCAGGCAGGAAGTTTGCTGGGGGAGTGAGTGTCTCTGGGCACTTGGCTAGAGCTGGGATCAATGATTCTTGGAGTGACAGAACTGAGTGCCTTTGGATAGGGCTTATCAGTAGAGTGAAGCTCTTTAGAGCTTTGTTACACCTTTCTAAGCAAGGAAGAGGCCAGACCAACCCAACAGGGCCAACAGGCACAAGGGACTGAGGGACCAAGGGTTTCGAAAGTCTACGTGGAGACTTTTCCAGGCAACCCTTCAACCTCAGAAGACTACAAGCTGCTAGTTCTACATTACTTGTGGGCAGTGTCCCTACCCCAAGGCCCTGCTCTGGCATCATGGCCTGGCTTTCTCTGGCATGTGGTCAGGGCAGGGCCACAGAGTGGAGATCCCTGCAAACAAGGACATAGCGCTCTCCCTCGGCTGGATCCTGCACCTCGGCTACTTTGCCTTCTTTTCCATTTGGAACTGCAGGAGGGAGAGACAATCCTGTCCATTAGTTCAGCAGGTTGTTAATCAGGAACTTAAGTCCAAGCCTTTCAGTGCTTGGTTTTCTCCAGCGGCTCCTGGGATTCTCAGTTAGTTTCTCTGCTGCCTATCTTCAGACACTGACTGGAAATGCAGCGAGAGTAGAAAAGGAGAAGATGGAAGGGAAAGTATTTGCTGCAAAGGGGAAGCAGAGCAAAGAAATAGGCAGGAGCCTTGGGGCCTAGGGGAGATGGGATGCCATTGCTTCCACCCTTCCGCAGAGGCCCAGGGAGTACCAAAAGTTCCCTGGCTTTTCTGGAGGTGGAATGGAAATGCAATGGGCAAAAGCAACAACAACAAGAGCAAAATGACGAGTCCCTGTTCTATCTGGCTGAGAGAAGGGTAGAGAAGAAAGAGAATGATGGGAAAGTAGGAAGCTAGGAGGAAATGTAGAAACACAGGTAAAGAGACTTGAAGTCAAAGCAATTTTTTTCTTTTTATTGTGGTTTGAGCGAAAAATTGATTCTACGTTCAGCGATTCATACACATTCTGTTTTGTGAAACTGATTGCAGTGTCCACAATGTAACACCACTCTTCCCACTTCCTCCCTGTGCTTTCTGCTAGCATTTGGCCTTCTTTCCTATCCCGTCCGCCTTCTGAGCAGGCAGATGCTGCCCTTTTGATGGATTGTTCTAAGGAAGCTGTCTCTCTCTCGTGATAATGGTCACTGTACAGGCTTGTCTATTGTCTGACTGCTATGCCACATGTATATTTATGTTTTACTATACATTTTGGTATAAATGGACCTGTTAGATTTTGCTAGTGGCCCCAATCCTTAGCTATTTAGGTCTTTTTTCATGCCTCACCAGCGTATCACCTGTTTATCCAGAATTCTGCTTCTTGATGCTCCCTACCCCCTTTCCTCTCTCCAATTCTGCCGTCTGTTTTGGACTGGGACAGTCCGGCCTAAGGTTTGTTTGGTCCCCATGCAGGTCTCTCCATCTTCAGAAGGGTACTTGGTCATCTGCCCTTGGAAGAAGCCGTGGGGCTGGGAGCAGAGCAAGGGACAAGGTTTTGCAGCTGGTTTTGTGAGTCATTGTGATCTCTGAGTACCGCCCACCAGAGCTAACTTCAAAAGCGCAGTTTGTAGGAACTATTAAACTAGGTCCATGACTGGGACTTTTTCTCAGCCCCGTCAGCCCACAGGAGATAAGAATAGACCCAGTTGAGGAAACTGTGGCTGGACAGCCAACGAGGCACGCCACTCCCCATCTCCCTCCGCTGCTAGGTCGCTGCAGAGCCTGAGCACAAGACTGCCTTTCGGGAGAGAGGATTGGCCCTGACTCTTCAGTCCTGTGGGCATGTTGGGGCGATCACTCATGCTCACATGCCTCCTGCTCCTCCTGGGACATAGGGGCCAAGGTAAGGAGGATCAGCTGGCATGGGGCAGGGGTCATCATGGACTAGGGGCTGTGCTTCTCAGGGAGACAAACCGTAGTCCTTTCCAGAGTCACTGGAAATTGTGGTTCTGAGAGGTCCGGACACTGAGTCTGACGGGACAAGTTGGCAGTGCACAGGGAGGTCCTTGAGAGGCACATCAACCTGCCCCCAGCTCTCTGTGGCCTTGGCATGGAGAGTCCTTTCTCTGGACTCCGTTGCTCTTTCTGTGTAGTGGGTGGCGGAAGGGAGGGGGACCTGAAATGTGAGGAAAACGAAGGCAACCTGCTTGCCTGACTGCGGTGCAATCATAGAGGCAGAGAGAAGCGGTCCTTGTGCTTGGTTTCTGTGGGAAGTTTGTGTCTAGAGCTTATCGACAGAGAGGTCCTCTAAGGATGGAGGGGGAGACCAGTGACCAGGACAGAAGTTTACCCAACCTCCTTCTGAAACCCAGAGACCACAGAATCCTGGGGATTATTCGGGAAATGTTGGCCTGGGAGATGGGGGGAAAAAGAGACACTATTCAGAAGCCACACAACAAGCCAAATTGTCTGCTCGGTAGAAAACCCTCATATTTACTTGTAGGGAGGGAGGTGGGTCCCAGCTGAGGGCTGCTCTCCTTTTTCTCCCTCCCTGGAGTTCAAGGGGCTCTGGGACTCAGATCTTGTGTCTTATCTATGTGGGCGACATTGTGGGTGGAGATGGAAGCAAGATAATCTTGGACAATCTAGATACAAAGAGAGGAAACAGGCACAGGTTGGTGTTGGCTCGGGGCCTGTTAGAAGCCCAATGTGAATTAAAAAATCTTATCTCTGGGAACTTCAGAATGCTTTCTGACGTTTTTTTCCTGATTCATGATCTAATCAAGATCATATCTTACATGTCATTGTCATGCTTCTTTCATCACTTTTAAGTTCTAACTATTCTAAGTTCTAACTATTCCTGAGCTTTCTTTGTCTTTCATGACACTGGTCTTTTTAAGAGCACAAGCCAATTTCTTTTAAGGAGGCCTCTCAATCTGAGCTTGTTTGAGATTTCTGCCTGATGATTCAGGTTATCCATGTATGACAGGACCATAAAAATCAGTGCTGTGTTTTCTCAATGCAACTTTATTTATGGAAGACTTTAGCTAATATGCATAATATATATGTAAGATGGAGTTCATGGCTGATGCAAACAGTTGAGTGTTAGACTGCTAACCAAAACATTGGTGGCTCAAACACACTGGGGGGTGCCTGCGAAGAAAGGCCTGGCAATTTATTTCCAAAGGTCACAGGCATTGAAATCTCTGTGGAGCACAGTTCTATTCTGACACGTAGATTTACCATGAGTCAGAATCAGCTTGATGGCGACACTCTTTATTTTTTAATATAACCAAGAAGATATTCATGTCACTCTGACTTTGAGCAGCCTTTTCAAGACTTGTCGTTTCACACAGAGGAAAGGGCACACATTTTACAATGGCCTATGTAATATGGGGGTACTGTCAGGTAAGCATTAAACTGCTAACTGCAAGGTTGATGACTCAACCTATCAGCTGCTTCTTAGGAGAAAGATGAGCTATCTGCTCCTGAAAAGATTTACAAAGTCTCAGGAACCCTATCTAAGGCATGAACTTGATGGCAATGGATTTTGGGGATTTATGATCTCCCTGGTGCGCTGTTGCGTCAGTGTTGGACTGCTAACTGTAAGATTGGTGGTTCAAATCTGCCAGCTGTTTCAAGGAAGACAAATGAGACTTTCTTTCCGCTTCCGTAAAGACGTAGATCCTTGGAAATCATATGTAAGGTCGATTTGAGTCAGAACCAACTCCATGGCAGTGGTTTGGTTTTTGGTTTATGTGATGAACATATCCTTCCAATGATCTCTCTGACCACCTCCTTTTTTCCCTGAGTTTCAGGCTCGCTAGTCCTCCTGCCAGTTCCAATTCAGGGCACTGCGATCACAGTGCCCTCTACCTGGGATGCTGTTTGCCTGGTTAGCCATATGATTTTCTTCCTCACTCCCTCAGGGTTTTGCTCAAGTACCAACTTTTCAGTAATGTCTCTCTCATGAAAAAAATGTTAGTTTCTTAACTCTTTTTTAACTTCCTCATTTCTTAATATTTCCTCCATAGCATTTGTCTCCGTTTTATAGATTATGTGAAGGAAAATGGCATTTTTCCAAAATTTTTTGAAACCTCCTTGTCTCTTTTACTCATCTTCTGTTCTCAGCTTCCTCCTCACCTCGCTAGAATGCAAACTTCTTGGGTGCCGGGCTTTTGTCTGTGTCCTCTCTGCCTGCTACAAGTGGACCCCCAATATGTACTTCTTTATTGAATGAACGAGTGAATATTTTGAATGGTCGATAAAATCTTTCAGCTTTTCAATTCACGGCTTGATTTTTTTCTTGTGTTCTTTCAGGTTAAGATATGCTAAGCATGTTCTTTCTTCCTTTTCCCCAACTCTTGGTCTGTTCACATTTCATTGTAATATTTGGCTTTGTTTTCTTGAGCTGCCCTTTTAAATTTCCTATCCAGCTCGTTGACTTCATCATTTCTTTCATTTGCCTGAGTTACAATGAAGAGCACAATTGAGATTTCTTTCCTGTCTGTTTAATGACCGTTTGCTTTCTTCATGAATAATGCTCTTGATGTCTCCCCACAGCTCATTAGGTCCTCTGTTCTTAGTGTTCAATGCATTAAATCTGTTCTTGAGATATCCTTGAAATTCATGTGGGATAGATTCAAGGTCATGGTTTGGCTTTGATGGACTTGTTTGAAATTTCTCCAGCTTTAACCTGAACTTACATATGAGCAGTACATGGTCTACTCCACAGTCACCCCCTGGCTTGGTTTTAGCTGCTGATGTTGAACTTCTGCAATTGTTTCTTCCCACTTTTATAGTTAATTTGATTTCTGTATTATATTTGGAGAAATTCACGTTGTTTCTGTTGTTGAAAAAAGATAATTTCGCTCATTCTCGCTGGTCTTCGGCGCTAGCTGTTGTTGCTCTAGCCGTTCCGTCCCAGGACCCAAATTCACTGCCATGTCTTCTGAAGAAGGGAAACTCTTCGTGGGAGGTCTTAACTTCAACACCGATGAGCAGGCGTTGGAAGATCACTTCAGCAGCTTTGGGCCTATCTCTGAGGTGGTGGTCGTCAAGGATCGGGAGACTCAACGATCCCGGGGATTTGGTTTTATCACCTTCACCAATCCAGAACATGCTTCAGATGCCATGCGAGCCATGAATGGAGAGTCCCTGGATGGTCGCCAGATTTGTGTGGATCACGCGGGCAAGTCTGCCCGGGGGACCCGAGGGGGTGCCTTTGGTGCCCATGGGCGTGGTCGCAGCTACTCCAGAGGTGGTGGGGACCAGGGCTATGGGAGCAGCAGGTATGACAGTCGACCTGGAGGATACGGATATGGATACGGAAGATCCAGAGACTATAGTGGCAGAAGCCAGGGTGGTTATGACCGCTATTCTGGAGGAAATTATAGAGATAATTACGACAACTGAGATGAGGCATGCACATAATGTAGATACACAAGGAATAAAAATTCTTCTGAACCAGGATCGTCCTTCCAGATGGCTGTATTTATAAAAGATTTTTGGAGCTGCACTGAAACATCTTTGTTTTAGTACATCAACTTCTATTTTTGAATTAAGCTCCCAGGGTAGCCTGTTAAAAGACCTTTTAGTAAATGCCATATGTTTTTAAAACTTTTTTCTCCCATTTAAAGACAAATTCTGCGACATTTGTAGAGTCTGGGTATTTTTCCTTTGACCAGTTCTCTAGTTTGGGCATTCAGGATTATTCTGGCAAACAATTTCCGCCAGCCGATTTTCCCCCCCTTTTAATTATTGAGTATCTATAGGAACATTTTAAAAGTTTTGTACACAATGTTTCTTTTTCATGGTTAGAAATTTCCGAATGTACCTACAAGAAATCTGCATCGATAATGATTACTTAGAGGTGTTTTTTTACTCTACATTGAAATCACCACCCTGATTATATAGAAGAGCTTAAAAATGTTTGTGAATGTCAATTTTTTTTTTTAATACTGGAAGAAAAAATATTCTGTTGTGTTTCATGTAGTGTTTAGGATGTCCTTCATGGAGCCGATTAAAAAGATGAAATCTGAAAAAAAAAGAAAAAAGATAATTTCTATGAACAAGTCTGTGGTAGTCACCAAATCTGGGGTCAATTTAAGGATTAAGAGTAGGGGTGTAGTCCTGGCTGTCAGTCTGGAGATAGCCAATGAGACTTCTGTGGGCATGGCCTTCTCCTGAGAATTCTGGGAAATCTGATACTTCCTCCTTGGAGGCAGAAGACACCTCTCTCTCTCTCTGTTACTCCCTGGGAGACATTGCAGAAGACAAGCCACATGGACGCAACCAGACCTCGGAAGCCGGAGAAGCCACAGAGAGACTCCTGCCAGCGCTGAGATGTTTCTAATGACACTGGATCCAAAGACTTCTACCCACTGGCCTGTGATCTACCGCATTCGGCGTCATTGCGTGTGTTTCGTGAGTCTGAGGAGGAGTTTGTGGATTGATATCGGGAATATGGGCTAGTATCGAACCTAATGGATTTGATCTGGACTAGGCTGGGATGTTTTCTCAATGTTCAGTTGCTCTTGTATATAAATATCTTATATTCATATGTGTGTCCATGGATTTGTTTCTCTAGTCTACCCCGACTAACACAAAGTCATTTATTGGTCTTGCAAAATTTTATCATATTATCCCCAGCTTAGTTTTTATCACCAAGATAACATTTTCCCACTAGTGTTCCTTCCTGTTTCCAACTTTGGCATTCCAATTGCCAATAATTATCAAAGCATCTTGATTGTTTGTGTGATTAGTTTCTAACTGAAGATGTTAGTAGAATTCTTCAATTTCTGCATCACTGGCTTTTGTGGTTGGTGCATGCGTTAGTCTGGGTAGACTAGAGAAACAAAATTCATAGACACTCATATTTTATGGGAGTTTTATTTAAGGGTAAGTGTACATTCAGAAAGTATCCCAACCCAGTGCTGTCCAAGCCATAAGTCTGACATTAGCCTATATGCCCGACACTGACCTATAAAGTCCTCCTCAATCTCACAAAACACACACAATGATGCCGACTGCAGGAGGAAAGCCGAATCAGTGAGTGTGTAAGCATCTGAGCATTGGCAGGGGTCTCTGTGGCTTCTCCAGCGCTCAGGGCTGCATCAGGGTAAGTCCATGTGGCCTCACCTCAGCTATGTCTCGCAGAAAGTGAGCCTTGCCAGCTGAGGCAGAGAACTAGCTAAGGCAGCTGTACACTGGTCCAACCATCAGAGAACAAGAGACCAGAAAGGCGAGGCTCACTGAGCCATTTATCTCTGCCTTTCAATTAAACTGCCCTCCAATGAATCCCACGTGTTCATCGGCCAGGTTGGCACAGTAAACCTTAACTGTCACAGTGCATACATTTGAATAACAGTTGTATTGATTGGATTTCCTTGAATTTGGATGTATATAATTCTATCACAGACTGCATCACACTGTAAGACTGATTTTGAAGGGTCCCTTTTGACTGTGAATGCCATGCCATTCCTCTTGATTGTGTTATTCCAGGCAGTAAATTATATGATTTTCTGATTCAAAAATGACCAATGCCAGTTCATTTCAGATCACTAATGCCAAGAATATCAATACTTATGCATTCCATTTCATTTTGACCGCTTCCAATTTTTCTAGACTCATACATACTTTTCACATTCCAAGTTCTAATTGTTAGTAGATATTTGCAGCTGTTTCTTCTTGCTTTGAATTTCACCCCATCAACCAATGAAGATCCTGAACATTCCATTCCCATCGGCTGCATTCTACTCCTGTCACCATGGTTGACAATACCTGAGGAAGTAGCTCCTCCTCAGTCACATGTTGAGTCCCTTCTGACCCACGGGGCCCATCCTCTGGCCCGAGCTCAGACAATGCTCTGCTTCCGTTCATTAGCCCTTCAGAATCTGCATTAGGCTGGTTTCACTAGAGAAACAAATCAGAGACACTCACATCTATGTAAGAAAGAGCTTTATATCAAGAAGTAATTGTATATCAGGTGTGGGATACAAAAAGACTGTTCCCCTGCTTGACTCCCCCAAATGTATATGTCAGACCTAGGACACTGCTTGCAACTAATGGTAAATGATTGTCAAGTTACCTCCCTGAAGACTCCAGGCATCCAGAGCAAGCAGACACCATTGTTTCTCCCAGGATAGGTGGGGCTCACTCCCTGCTGTT